GTGTGCGCCCGAGCTGCTGCTTTGTTCGCTTCTAATGGACATACCTAGTCGGCGATTGCCAGTATAATGAACGCTTCCTATTCTTTCCTTTCCAAGCCTCCGCCTCCGCAGAAAAGGCACCCCCTCTGCCCGCCGCCGCCAACACCCGCGGCGACCCGCAAACGTTCGTCTACGTTTAGCGCAATCGCAGCCTGGGCCGCGCACGTCCAGCCCGGCTCCCCGACGCGTTCGCCTGACCCTAAGGACTTTGCCATCGATCTCACTGGTCTGGGCTACACCTCCGTCTTTGTCCACCTCCCCAACACACCCACCACGCCCATGGCCTCCAAACCCGTCAGTCCGGACTCCCCTCCCACCCGCACACGTCCTACGCCCCTCAAACGCCTCCGCTCCCTTTCCATCCTCCGCCCCCGTAGCAACACTACTGTCACTGCCCCCTCACCCTCACCCAGCCCCGGCTCTCCCAAAATAACCGCAGCCTCCATCGCACAGCGCAAAAAGGCCGTGTACACCTACGCCAAGTCCTCAAAGCCTCCACCCAAGCCCAAAACGACTCTCCCACCCTCGCTCGCGTCCGAGCTCGCACTGATGCAGTTCGCGGACGGCGGAAGCACCGAGGCGAACGTCAAGCGCCTGATGGAAGCCCAGGCACGCGCCGGAACCAAAACCGGCGGCATCACCGTTGTAGGCGACGTGTACCGCGACGGCAAGGGCGGGATCTGGTGGGACCGCGAGGAGGAGATGGAGTATGTCCATCTCCTCGGCGGGCACGATGTCTCGGGTCCCGAGGAGAAGTGGGTCTCGTTCGGCGGCGAGGTGAGGGAGGGTAAAGCCGAAGGAGACGAGGATGAGAGTGAGGAGCGCGGATTGGCGATTGCGAGTCTGGCGGATGGGGATGCCGGGCACGGGAGGAGAGGTAGTGCGAATTCGATTCGGTCCTTGGATCTTTGTAATCTTATCAAGCCTGCGGAGGAGGACGCGCTGCCGCTCGTTCCTCTGCCAAAGACAACGCCCGAGCCGCTCCTGACGATCCCCTCGCGCCCACGACACGGCCAACACCATCTACGTGCACCACCCAACTTTTTCTTGCTTGATCTTAATGCGTTCAAGGTTCCGCGTACTCCGAACACTCCACTTACCCCGCACACCCCGCAACCCCCCTCCACAACCACCCTTCAACATACCCACACGCAAAGAAAACGAGGCTCCGCACGCCGCCGCCCCGCTCCTCTCAACATCGTCGCGCACGTCCCGATGCGCGGTGTCTCGCCCGATCACGGCAACGACGAAAATGAGAACAGAAACGCAGATGCGAAGAAGGACTTTTTGGAGGCGTCGTTTAGGCCTCTGCCACAGCATGAGGTGGTGGATGTGGTGGTACCGGTGAAGATGCAGCGGGAGACGGTGTATCGCGTTCCTGAGACCACGAAATCGTTGAAGAAGAAGGTGTCGAGACCGCTGTTGGGTCTTTTTGGGAGGAAGTGAACGACCTTTGACGGAAAAAATTGCAGAAATGAACAAGACTACCCACTTGATCGTAATCGGGAATGGACCTCGCTTCTCCCCCTCACTCCCTCGCCAAACTCGAACCATGCTTTGCATCGCTCTGCCTTTTAGTGTATCCATTCAATCTCACCTACTTGTATCGATACCTGTAGCGTACTTACTTACCACACATACATACCATACCCTCTTCCCCATCAAGTAACATTAATCTAGCAGCATTCAATTCCTCTACTAGTAACTCTCCTACGCACATACACTTATGTTTACTTCCATGCATATGCACATGCACAGGCTACGTAGTTAGAGGACGATCTCTACACTATACATGGCATACATGATACATACATATCACCTCATCCAAGTTTGAATCTTTTGTATTACTACGATGTATCGCCTTATAATACCGTGGTTTATCTCGCTTTCCTTCCTTCCTTCCTCCCTTCGATATTTTGCCGCAGGTCCCTTGGTTGGGGATGAGCAGACCAGAAGTGATGGTCTGGAAAACCTATTGACCGGCCTGATGGTCTAGTAGTATGATTCCTTGTTAGGGTGCTGATTTGTTCATCTGAATCGAGGAGGTCCCGGGTTCAATTCCCGGTCAGGCCCTCTGTGCCAGTATCAGAGTTTTTTGTTTTACTCGATGTAGGAGGGTAAGGACCTTTTTTGGAGGCCTCTGCGTAACAAACACCCACACCATTCAGTGGCCCTTTGGCATGATGAACTTTCACTGCAAGATTTGAAGCCATTTTTGACACAGTGTTGCACTGAGGACAGTAAGTCTCGATTCAACCCATGCTGCCCTCTCCAATCCATCATCAGTCTGCAGCACTGTCCTCACTAAACCTTCCACAAAGTGGCACCAGCCTCTCCATATTATATGATCTTTGTAATTATCTACATTACTCTGCATGAGATAAGACACCTCCTCCACATATTCAATAAGCTACTCTTATCCCTCACCCTAGTTTTTTGAACTAGCTTCTCACAAAGGGTACATCTAAAGTGACTAATTCATGATTCCATTGTAAGCCTGTAGTATCTTGACTTTGATTCTGTAGTTTATATTGTAATTGTCAGTTGAGCTCTCATATGATAGACACATGAGCCATGCCTTGCAGCTCAAGCAGGCTATCTCATTCTCTCCCCTCATTTTCATTTTGCTAAGCTGCAGAGGCACTCCTGGATTCAATTTCCTTCAGACACATGAGAGACTTGAAGTAGTGTTTCATGAACAGTTTGTGAGTTTATGTCAAAATGTAGGTACTTGACCAGATTTTAGTTCATAGGTGGATGGGATTGGTGAAATAGACCAGAGTCTGGTGATTCAACTAGACCTTGATCTTATTGGATGTTGTATTAAGCTTTAAGCGTTTTTTGCCTTTTTCTGCTAATTTGCGCCACAGCAACAACTTCACATGACGTCTACCTAATCTGACCACCTAGATGTGCTCACTGAGCTAGCCAAATTGAAATGTCTTGGAAATCCAATGTCTGGACTCACATGGAAAGTCATACCAGGAATACCAGGGCTTTTTAGAAGGGTTGATACAGCCAGTCCCAGGCATGGTTTGGTTTATATGAATTTGCTGAAATGTGGCTGAAAAAGAAACTCCCAAATGTTGAGGGAACCAATTGAGAAATAGAATGAGGCAAAAAAGGAAATGAGAGATAGTCCAATCCTTTTTTTTTTTTTTTAATGTGTTGTCAAGCGAGTGTTTATTCGTCCCCCCAAATTTTTTTTTTTTTGAAGACCTGAGGGGAGCTCAGTGTGTATGTGGGCAGGTGCAAGAGGAGCCCGGCATGTATGTGGGCAGGTGTGAAAGAACCCAGTGTGTGTAGGGCTGGCATGTCGCAATTTGGAAATGTTGCTTAATAGGTGATGTTGTTTGTTCCTCATTGTAATGTGAGTGCATGCATCAGGATGGGGTTCTTTCTGATGTAACGTTGAAAAGCCTTTGATGATCAGTGGCCTGTTGCCTGAATGAGCTGAGGTGTGACCCCTGCTTCTGCCAAGAAAGTTGCCCCTCCTGCTCTCATTGATTGTCCAGCAATTGTGTCAGAAAAAAAAATAGCAGAGTCGTTCTATGAAAAACAAGCAAGTCAGATGAGTGCCGTCTGCTTTCAGCCATAGCTCTCTGCATAAAGGGAAAAAGCATCTTCGGTTGGCCAGGTAGGTCATAAACTGATGGTATGGATCACTTGGATGTTTCGTTTTCGTTACGACTATTTGGTTGCCTTCAAAGAAGGTGTCGGCCTTGTAGAAAGGCAAATAGAACTCAAAGTAGTCGTTGTGGACTTGTACTGATAGGTTTTTGACAACCTTCCTGTCATCTTGCAGGTGCGTGTTGTCTGGCTGGTTTAGTTCTCCTAGGTGAAGCAATGCATAAAAACCAGTTGTCAGTTGAGCAACAAATAATCTGTCGTCTGTGGCTGGTGCTGTTGGCATAAAAATTTATCACTTGGGTTAGGTCTTTGCGAGTGAGTGGTAGCTTGCACTTTGTGTTTTATGACTTGAGCCATGCATTCAGCAAGGGTATTCCATATCAGTGCAGACTTTCATATTTTGTGGATGTCGAGGAAGTATAGCTCAAGTTGATTGCAAATTCCAGATAGGTAAGTGCAGACCGATCTGGGTTCGATGTGGTGTGACATGTATACTATGTAAAATGATAATGAGTCAGCAGTGGAGCGTGTTTTCATTCCATGTATTTTCACAAAGTTTAGGTAAGAATTCAAGGCTGATCCATAGGACAAAGAGGTGTTCGTGTCAATTGCGGCTCTGAGGGCAAGTGACCGTTCTCTAACTAGTCACTCCCTTGACCAGGCAGTTTGCTGAAGCTGCCTAGATTTCACTGCCAAAGAGATCATTTTTTGTCTGCCCTCAGTAATTCCTGTGGGGGTTTAAATTGTTTAATGCTGAGGGAGGAGAAAAGTCTATATGCTTCATCAAATTTGCTTTATGAGATCAAATCGGCAACTTTATTATCCTTCCCTCGGATGTACTGGACTTTGAGTTTGTGCCTGCCAGATAAAAGAATGTCAACGACTAAACATAGCATTGGGTTGTAGAGTGAAAGAGCATGCAGGCTGTTGAACATGCTAACTGTGTTTGTATTATTAGTGTAGATAATTACTTTCAATGGGTACTCTGCTTTGCTCATAGCAGTCTTGAAGGCCAAAGTTACTGCAAGTGCCTCAAGATAGAAAATTAAGTCACTCAGAGTTCCTTCTGGTGCTGAACAGAAAAAACCCCTTCTTAATGTTGGGTGCCAAAAACTCATTCTCTCTAAACAGGCATCTGATTCAATGATGATGTCTGCTTTGACCTCATCCCATGCAATTGACTCTAGTAACTGAACTCCTGAGAATGTCTCCATATGGTCCGTGGCCCAGCGCAAATCAGACTTAATCACGTTGTTGGATCATATCCTCATATAAGGAAAATCACCAGCTGCATTGATCTTTGCATAGATGTTGGAGAGAGCTGGAGCTAACAGAGGGAAGACATTTAGGCTCTAGTTGACCCATCCTCTTAGGCGTTGCTATCTGTGCTTTGTGAAGTACTTGGACTTTCTGTTTGAGGCTTTGGTAAATCAGCACATCTCCGCAATTAACTCGGCCTTGGCATCATCTAGAAGAGTCATCGTCATGGCATTTGGGTCCACAAGAATCCCAATAATCATGAGTGGTGATCCTGAGAATTGTTTTTTCTCCTTGTGTGGAATGCCAAGTTTGTCCCAGGGAGAGAGTAGTTTGTGCTGGTTGTGAGGCAGCTCCTTCTGATAAGGTTCATAGTATAAGAAATCTCCTTCTTCGCCTATTCCAAATGAGTCATCATTGAAGACAAAAAGGTGTGGGACATTGCAGATGTTCTTGGCAATCCAAGTTACTAAGCAATTGACCGCACCCCAACAGTTCAGTGAGGCTCAACCTCCAAAACAATTGCACTAGTCAACATAGCGCTCACCATCTATCGTAACGATCTGCTTTAGTTGCCATAGTTTGTGCATTGGAATAAGGTGGTAGGTATGCTTCTGTGATGTCTAATTTTCACAGTATGAGGGGTTGGTCAGAGTATTCTCTGATGCATAAAAGCAGCTTTCCCAGATGCTTCATGTTGTCCAAGGGGAAACCTGCAATGTTGTCATAAGGAATCATTGAGTTCAGGGAGTATTTGCCTGCAGTCAAGTCTATGACTAGCCAGAAATCTGTTGATCAGGGTTTCAGTACGGCATAAAGTGGAGAGCTTGTCATGGATGGAAATAGCAGTTTTCTGAAGGAGTGTGAAAAACAGTCCTTAGCAATCTCAACATCTCTTTGGGACTGTAAAAAGTCTGTCTCTGCAGTGTTTCCTGGGGTCTCCAGTGACATGTCACAGATGAAGGGATATGTGTTAGGGTGTGTGTTTGCAAAAGGCCAGAAACCTCCATGAAGGCTGCAGCATACTGAGTCAATGAAAGGTTGGTTTGAGTGAGACTGCAGTAAGTTTTTAAAGAAGTCAACGTTGATTGGTGTGATAATTTTGAACAGATTCAGATGGTCAGACAGTGTCTGCAATGACCAGGGGTTATTTTATTCAGCTATAAGTGGGAAAGGCAGTGGTTTTGCAGACTCAGACCAGTCTGCTGTTGTTTTGAAGAGATCAGCATCTGCAAGGTAATAATTGTAACGCAGATATTTTGGTTTGAAGTCTTTATGAGCCTCAATCCTTGCTCTCATTTGTGCATTCATACTTTGGATGGGCCCCTCCACACTTCTTGAAGAAGTGGTTCCAGTAGCACAATTCTGTATTGTACAGGCATCCTTTGGCAGTGTTCCAGCACTTGCAAGTGACTGACTTTTCTTTTGTGCCACTATTTGATTGAAAGTTTGATCTGCCTCTGGACCCTTTTTTGCTTTTATAATTGATCCCATCAACATTGAGCATGGAGTCTTTGAGATCAACAAACTCCTGCCTGTCTGTAAACAGGATTCTTGTTCCGCCACCAACTCGTGCTCATACTGCTTTGTCGTAAGCGATGACTTTACTATGGACAGACTCATGTTTGGCTATGAAGAGCCCAAGGATGTGATTGATATGGAATTGGAACTCAATGTCATGCTCTGAGAAAGCAAACTTGAGTGCTCTGGCATAGATGTTTGCAGCGACAAGCCACTGCCCACTAGTCTTGACCTTTCATAGTGGAGTGCTGTATCCAAGAATGAGTTTACAATGCCTGATATGCCCTCTATTCTCCCTAAGAGCTCCTAAATGTCTGACCACACTGTAGATGGTGTTAAAACACACCGGTTTTCCTCAGAGTGCTTTGTCCCACTCAGAGGAGGGGAAGTCAGATGGTGCTGTGTATGAGGTGAGGATTTGTCATTTGACCTTGCTGATGTTTTGCATGTATTGCCATAGGAGTTTCCTGTTGTGCTCAAAATGGGGGTCTCCAACTTCTTGAGCAAGCTTCTCTTGGTCATACCATGGCATTTTGCACTCATTGACTTGTCTTTTCTTTTGTTTGTGTCTGTCATCCTCATCAAAAGAGCTGGAGGACTGGGAGGACATGTCTGCAAAGGAGCCTGAGCTGGTCCTGCTTCTGCTTCATTTGCCAGTTTCAAGGAGTATTGAGCACAAGAACTTGTCTGCACTGGGGTGCAAGGATCTGACAGGTGAGCATCCAGGTTCATGACTTGGTTTTGGAGGAGGTTGTTCCCCATCTCTGCTTCCGCTCCCTGGTCTTCTTCCTCTGTGGCTTCCAGAATTGTCTCTAACACTTCTTGAAGTACTCTCACCTGGCTTCTCAATCAGTGAGGCCTCTTCTCATCACTTGGCTCTGCGTTGTATAGCCTTTGCTTTCTTTTCAATGTTGTCAAGAAGTGCGAGGTAACTGGCAATGGTGTCCTGGCATGCATCAGCAGGTATTCCAAAGGTGTTGGCTGTGGTGACAATAGCGGTAGTTGTAATAGGTTTGGACTTTTTTCCTTGTCAAAACTCCTCAACCAATCCCTTGAGTTGTTCAATGATGGCATGTTTGGTCCCAAACAGAGTAATAGGGGGCAGGCTAGATGGTGTGGCATCATACCCTTCTTCAGCTCCTCACTCAGTACCATCTTGAGTGGTGGACTCTGTACTCAATTGATTAGGCTGGCCTGACTCCCAGGAGGCATCAAGGGATCTGCCATGCTGTGCACTCATGAACAGTTTTAGGGGTTTAAGTGAGGGCTTTGACCGATGAACACAGTTCAAATATATAGCTAAAAAATGTAACTAATGGCATGGCAAATTTATTCATGAGGTTATCGTCAAGGAAGTTCTTTTTGACAGTGTGCTTTACTCACCTAGAGGGAGGTTGTCATAGTGGGAGTTCCCTGAGGGCACTTGTTCACCAACTCCTCTCTAGGTACTTGGTTCACGTGATCGCCGCGCCTCAGGTCCTTACATTGGCTGCGTGAAAAACTGCTTTTTAACTTTAACAAATATTAATGGCCTGATGGTCTAGTAGTATGATTCCTTGTTAGGGTCTCGATGAGAGATTGAAATTTCGAGGAGGTCCCGGGTTCAATTCCCGGTCAGGCCCTATCTGACCAAATTAATGGTCATTTTTTCTTGTCCTTGTCTTTAATTTTTTGCTATGGGTTGGATAATTCACGTTCATGGTACCTTGAGCTTGTACTCTCTGTCATCGATGTCGTTCTCGTTACTAGTGTTGTTCAACTTTCCCCGGTTTTATGATCTTAGACTGTTCCTCCATCTCCGAGATTCAGCCTGAGATTTAACGTCTTGCGGATACCTCTCTACATCCTAATGCTACCTTCCTCCACCCGTTCTACGCTCTCCATATCTCAGGTTGCATGACATCAGATTCAGACGGAACTCTGCCAGCATGTAAATTTTCCGTCCACCGATATGGGCCGCATTGGGCGCCCCCGGAAAAAACGTAATTCCGGCATAAAACATTCGGCCGCTGAAAAAAATCACATCTCTTGTTGGCATCCTGTTCTCTGAGCTTCTTTCGCTTTTGGTTTCCTATTGGACGGTTCCGCGTTGATTCCGCGGTATGTAAGTAATGCCCATTCCGATTCCTCTCCCTATCTGACCGATGATCATGATGTTGATAAATATCTCCCCGTCTGACTCATCCTTAGTCTATCTAGCGTTTTCAAGGGCGTCTCCTAGGCCTCACGCATCTCTGATTTCTCCTTAATGACCGCCATCTCAGCCCAAGACACGTCCGACGTTCTCTCAGAGACTCGCAACGACAATAATGAATCTCACGAGCCCACAACACCAGTTCCTACACCACCAAAACGCACCCCACTCCCGAAATTCCAGCTATTCATAGTGGGAATGATCCAATTCGCCGAGCCTATAACCGCAACCGTTATATACCCATTCATCAACAAGTTCGTTCGCGATACGGGCGTTATCCAGGGCGACGAGCGCAAAACAGGGTACTATGCCGGCGTCATCGTGAGTCTTTACTTGCAGCTTCGTACTGCGTCGTGCAAGGCCTTGATTGACTGGTGAAACAGGAATCCACGTTCTTCGTCGCGGAAGCTCTGACCGTCGTTTACTGGGGTCGAGCGTCCGATTACTTCGGGCGTCGGCCTGTCCTCTTGATCGGCCCCGTTGGACTGGCGTTCTTTATGCTTTCCTTTGGCTTGTCAACGGATTATTGGAGTTTGGTCGTGTCTAGGTGTATGCAAGGTGCCTTTAATGGGAATATTGGTACGTTGTCATATAGTACAACACAGATTCATATGTTTCTGATTGGGGATATTCAGGCGTTTCCAAGAGTGTTATGGCAGAGGTGCTTCATCCCATAGACAGGGTTATATTGGAACGACTTTTTGATGTTCTGTGCGCCTCTAGATTACGGATTCGACGAATATCTCGGATGCTTTTGCGTTGATACCAGTCATGTGGACCTGTGGTTCTGCCCTCGGGTACGTTTTTTCCGTGTGTTTTGACATTCTGACGTTCATGGATTCAATCCGTAGGCCCATCATCGGTGGATTGCTCTCAGAGCCTGCGAAAAGGTGGCCAGACATGTTCAGAAAGCTCGTCTTTTTCCACCAATTCCCGTACTTCCTTCCATGCGCTGTCTCAGCGTTTATTGCCCTTGTCTCTGCAGTTTTTGGATTCATAGGACTCAAAGAGGCAGGTTTTACATTGCTACTATGTAGAGCATGTTTACTGAGGTATTCTATAGACGTTACCGTCAGCTGTCATCCGGGAAAATAAAAAGAAAGCAGCAGCGGAGCAATGCACGACACCTGATTGCACAACCAGCCTGCTCTCTGGGCACAACGAGCAGGGATACTCCACCACCTCCACCGTAGAATCTGCGGAGCCAGACGATAATCTCAAGGACCTCACTCCACCACCGTTTCTGTCCCTTCTCACTCCCTCAGTCCAATTGACTCTCCTCATTTACGGGTTCATGACATTCACCGACATGGGTCTTCAAGTCCTCCGACCCCTCGTCTTCTCCACCTCAGTCTCTTTGGGTGGTCTTGGCTTTGACCCGTACCGCATTGGCTCGATCATGGGCACTTGGGGAGTCATCAACGCCATTTCCACAGTTGTTTGCGTCCCAATCTTCCTTCGCAAGTTCGGTGCGCGCAATATACAGATCTTTGCTCATTTTAACTACGCCTCTACATTCGCTCTGTACCCTCTTCTGAGTTACCTTTCACGCAGAGCTGGTGGCGCAGATGCACTAGTTTGGACAGTGATGATCAGTCAGCTGATTCTTGGGTTATCTTCCAGTGCCTCGTATGGTAAGTGACCCAGCTACTCTATTTTATTAAAAGATATTCATGATAAGTGATGGTAAAGCATCAATATTTGTGTTACTTCTCGATAGTATCCCGAACCGTGCCTCCCTTGGAACCATTAACGGCATGGCGCAAGCTGTTGGTTGCATCACACGAGCCATTGCGCCTACTGTGGCATCCTCTCTATTCTCCATATCTCTCGAGAGACACCTTGCTGGTGGTAACATGGTCTTCCTTATCCTGTTTGGGGTAAGTATGATCGGCCTTCGTTTGACGTTCCTGTTACCCAAAAGACCTATTGTAAATGAGACAGCATAGGAAAATCTAACAACGAAAGATATTGATATACACGGTGCTAGCCCCGATAGGCTAGAACGACTGGTGGCATATCTGCATGTGTGTGCGCATGTCCATATGACGTCGCACTGTCTACAGATCAATGACTTTTAAAGCTTTTGAGACCTAGAGAGGTCAAATTCAAGTCAAGCTTTTGATGTTCGAATCGATCTCCTCGCGACAGGTACTACAAATTACCACCACATAGGCAGACTATTCGACAATCTCAACGATATATGAAGTGCGTAACAAAAAAACTGAAACCTCAATGCTCGAAGCAAACCTATTCTAGTACGACCAGCGTTATAATTGGTCGCCTCCGAACAAAACTTATACCTGGCTTTTGCAATCAAGTCTCCGTTCAAAAGGTCTGTCTTTCATTAAGATCTACGTATATCGTCGACGTAGACTCTAAATTCCAGATCCTTCGTCGGGTATGACCGTATTCCCACTCAAAAAGGTAATCACCTGAGCTTTGGAGAAACTTCTGCCCATGCTTGCGCCAACCGAAAAACCTACAACTGTCACCTCCCTTCCAATCAAAAGCTCCATTGCGAGAGTAGTAAGTCTTGGCAGCAATGACAAAGCTATAGAGAGTACTGTAGAACACTAAATGAATCTTGAGTTGTGGCACTCCAGAGACCAGATTCTGAGTTCCTCGATGATCAGACGAAGTTCTTTCACAGCAGGGAACCATTCGGTCAAAGATTTGAGGTTATAAGCAAAGTTTTCTTTGCAGAGCTTACGAACAGCTCGGAAGAACGGTAGTATTCATGGTTAAACAAGGTGTTCTTCAGAGATTCCCATATTGGATGTCCACTCCAATAAGGATTAAGTCCTGGAAAGGCCATAATGCGTGGGTGGCATCCCAACCACATGTCCCTTGACCAAACAGTCAGTTTATATCGTTGTCGATAGACCGAGATTGTTTCAAGATCAGGTTTTCATTAAGACTTGTCGTGGAAACGCACGTCTTGGAGGTTGTCATAGAATCGAGCCCAAATAATAGGATCTCAGTGCAAAAGTGCAACGCCTACTGCATTGTGAATTAAGGTCCTTATTGGCAGGCAGAGGTAAACATATTGCAGAGTAGGAAGCTACTTCCATGATGGTCAAAAGGAAACTCAACTCAAGTTGCAAAACTTTGAGTTGAGTTACGGACAGCGCAGCGGCAAGAATAGAGATTCTTCTGATCTTCTTCAACATCATCGTTTAACGAGATAAGGACTCGACCGGTAATTGATAATTTTTGCTTGTAAGCGCAACTTGAAGGGAGGTGTTGAGATCACAAGATTGAAGTATTTAATAGATGGCTTGGGATAGAGATCTAGTGACATTGCACTGTAGCAAACTGGCAGGCTACAGTACTTTCGACCTTCATCGTCTTCTCTGCTCACAGCTAGTACTTAGTTTCATGCCAAAGCTGCCGTTTAGCTTCCGAAGGCAAATAGATGGATGCGGTCATCCACAGGCAACTGTTATCGCTGGCTCGATTAGCCAACGGTTACTGACAAATACGAATTTCGGAGAGGGACCTGAAGAATGTGGTCATGAATCATTAGAGGCTGCTAGACCTGAGTCTGGATTCTCGACCAAAGTTTAAAACAAGTTCATGGGATCGGAAGTGTTTCATTGTTTCAAGGATTTCAGGGATGGCATCTGGCTTCATGGGGTATAGAGTGTGGACAGGTCTAGATGAAAACTAATACATGTAACGACGAGATCATACAATAGATAGATGTACAATATCCAGTGAAGATTAAGGTTATGGTGGGTAAGAGGTAGAAGGTCGGAGTTGGGGGGATCGTGGAGGAGAGAAAGAATCTGATTGAGGAAAGTATGTCGCTGTCGACGGCGAAGACAAAGAACCGGGGAGATACAGCGGAATGGTGGGTATCAGCTCAAAGATATGTTGTACAGTAGGTCGTAGTGGTCGACCAGGAGGTTGGGGTGTAGGTTCAGGATGATTCAGAACAGCATGGATATGGGCCTCCTGTACCATCTCGTCTTCCGCCGGAGTTCCTGCCATGGCAGCAATGTTTGGACGTCCTCGCCCATCCCAGACACATCGGACATCCTGACCCATTACAATCTGGGCTAATCGGCCTGTCTCAACATGTCTGATCTCAATGAAGCGGGGGTCGAAAAGTAACACATATGGGGCATGAAAGGCGACCGAGTCCGCATTGCCTTCCCATTCAACAATGCACTCGTTTCGGCTGGGGATACCCTTTTTGTTGACATAAACACCAAATTCTGAGAGGATATCAGTCGCCAAAAAGTTCAAAATAACATCAGCCTCACGAGAATAGCAAAGAAGATATTCATCGTCGTGGGTTCGAAAAATACCAATTGGTCGACATGTCTCGTGACGTTGCAGTATTGGGATCAACCGATTATCTTTCAGAGGTATAACGGTACTCGATGAACTGAAGAGACCATGAGCAAAGCAACTGTGATC